AAACCCATCAGATTCCTATTATATTAATACATTCACCTTGTGCTTAGAACAACTCAAAATCCTTCTAATGCCTATTATCTGGTGTATAAATAGGTAACGTGAAGGTTCTTGTCCAAATGTCTTTTGGAGTTAATGCCTAAAAAGAGGTGGTCATAAATTCGGCTACTAGTTTAAAGGATGAGAATGTCAGTAAAGCAATCTACGAAATAGTTGCAAGCGGGTAGTTCCTTTGTCCCCATTTGATAATTATACTTGAGAGCCTCGAAATAATTAGTCGTCTAGGGCCTCGAAATAATCGGGGCCGGCCTTGTAGATGTTCGCATTGACTTGGCCGGTGCTAATGGGTGGCTCATGCTCGTCTCATAGGTGAGATCGAGTTGAGCTCAAAATTTTCATTGCAAGTCACTTGTCTAGGTGGCTGCAAAAGCAATCGTCCAGTTGATGGCACCTACTGGTGGAAGGTGCCATCGAATCTAAATTAGATATTCAAATACTAAATTTAATTTTTGGATAAATATATATGTACAAACTATGGTTGACAAAATCTTTCACTCACTCTCACATAATGTGTAGACCCCGCATGTATTTAAAAAATGGCAACTTATGGTCCCCACCCCTATTGTGAGTAGTGAGTAAAGGATTATGTAAAAAAAGTTTGTAATGTAGCATTATTCTTAATTTTTTTTCCTCAATTTTTCGTCCATAAATAGGGATTTTTCATATACCATTTCTTCACACCTCTCTACTTTCTCACGTTACATATTCCAAAATTTCGTGTACCACAATCTAGTTAAAATTGCCAATATTCCTTTAGTTGGTTTTTGTTCGCATTGGCTATTCTTTAGACAAAATTATTATTATAAAAGAGTTGTAAAAGTCAAGGAGTCTATTGGAATGTTATGGAACATGAAGAAGGAGCACCAAAATTATGCTAGCCTTTCGCCAAGCTCATGCTCGAGCGTCAAAACAGAATCATTATCGTCCACCAATTGCTCGCCAGATGCTAGCCTGCACTAGAGCGACGGTGTTTTCCAAAAAACCCAAGTTTACAATTGTCAAAAGTTATATCATTCCTATACCACCCCAATACCTCTCAACTAAAAATAAACAAGCCCCACTTCATGGAAAAGGTAATTGATCGTTATATTGTGCCTTCATAACATCCTTGGAGATCAAACAACAATTCTACATCTTGAGATCAATCAAGCACAAGTTGGAAAAAAATATTAAAATCATATAATCCAAAGCACACACTTTCTAAACATGGTCAGGAAGGTACTTTCTCAATAGTTTTTATAGGTTGCTAAGAATTGATGGAGATTGAGTTAGAAGCACATGAAGAGTACAAGAACTAAGTATTCTCATTGTTCTACTGGGGATAGACAATTCCAGAAGATCGGAGACAATTGTGAATGAAGCAAGATGCAATGGGTCTTGGAGATTATAGGAACTAGATCAGCGAGTTTAGTGGGATTTTCTAGGCTGTATCACATTGTAAGTTCTTATTGTTTATAGTGGAAGTGATTGGCTTAGTCCCCATAGTTTTTAATCCTTAAAGGATTTTCTTCATCAACAAATCCTGTATTATTTACCCTTTTATTTACTGTTTGGTAATTCAACATCGGATAAAATTGATTTGATTAACTAAACATCTAGAACAATTAAAATATGACTCTTTACTTTTAATTGGTAGTTTTAATTTCATGCTATTCACCTATTCACACCTTATACGTGATTTTAGAGTCGAACTAGCAACTTTTTTTTCTTTTGTTCTTCTTTTGCTTCTTAGTGCTCTCATACTTCTTGTATTTTCTACCATATTTTTGAATGGATTAGAGAACATTTATGAACCACAAAGAGGATGTTACCAATTTACCAATAGTTCATATTCTCTAATTGTTAGGATTTTATTGTATTGACAATTTTTTAGACAAAAGAACTAATATGAAAAATTGTGAAAGTCAATGAGTCAATTGAAATGTTGTATAAATGAAATAAGTAACTTAGGATTTGAGTTTGAAACAATGAGGAAAGAGTTGTCGGATTTGCACTAGCCTGTCTCGAGCGAAAAAAATAGAAACACTGTCTCCGGCCTGTCGCCTTACTCTCGCTCGAGCAACTGTGTAACGTTAAAAATCCTAGTTCGAGTTTTTCAAGAGTTTTATTTTTCCCATGCTATCTAATTACATTCTACTATATATACCCAAGCCCTATTACATTTTTGGTGTCGTTGATCATTATTTTCTTCTTTCATAACATTCTTTATAGATAAAAATATCATGCTACATCTTAAGATCAATCAACCACAATTTGAGAAAAGCAGCAAAATCACATAATCTAAACACTTACTTCCTATACACATACAGGAATGTATTTTTCCATAGCTTATAGAGGTTGCTGAAAATTGAGGAAAATTGGACTAGAAGTATAAAAAGAGTACAAGAACAAGGTGTTTTTGGTGATTTACAGGAGATAGACAATTCCAAGAGATCGGGAGCAGGTGTAAGTAAAACACGTTCTAGCAGACTTTGGAGATTGCAGGAATTAGATCAACGAGTCTAGTAAAATTTCTAGTCTTGATCATACTATAAGTTCTTATTATCTACAATGGAGATTACTGGCTTGGTCTTGAAGTTTTTACTTAGTTGGGTTTCTCCGTCAACAATTCTTGTGTTCTTCATTACTTTCGCATTACAAATTTTGACAATTCAACATAGAATAATTTAACTTGATTGCCTAAACATCTAGAACAATTAATAAGTGCCTTGTTGCTATTAATTTATAATTTAATTCTGCAATTTTCACCTATTCGAACTAGTAACTTTCAAGTGATGTCAGAGCTTTTCACTAATAAGTGGCTTGACAAATCTAAATAAGAGTTAATTACGCCAATGGTCACTGATGTTCCTAGTATTGAAATGGTCGTTGACGTTATTTTCGTAAGTTATTAATCATTCAAGTTTTACGATCAGCTGATTAAAAAAATTAATCATACATGACATTTTTAAGTAACAAAACTTCCCCCAAAAGTGTTATTTATATTATAGCCTCGTCAGACAAAAATGGTATTTTCTGTGAGAGAGAGAGAGAGAGAGTGGGGGGCGGGGGAGGGGGGGATCCTCAGTTTAAAAGTATGATTTAAGTAATTAGAGCCCCATTACGTTTCTCATTTGTTAAATCTATAATTTCCTACTTAATGATGCCATGTATGATTTACTTAATTTTTTAACGGTGAGACCATTATTGCAACAATTAGAAATTCGAGTGACAAATAGCATATTAAAATAACTTCTACAATTATTTACACAATAATTTGCAGTTTTTTAATTTATAATTTATTTTTGACGTATAAATAATTGGATTAGACCAAACCAAAATCATTCAATTTTTTTCCAATTGAACAATTTTTTTTTTTAATTTAGAAGATAAATAAATTTACATTACTTTGCACAATATATAAATTTATTTTTAACCGTAAAATTTGCGAGGTTCAGGGCATTCTATATGTTTCCACAATTTATGTAACATTTTATTATTTTTCCATTCTTCACAATCTTTGTTGTCATAGAAATGGTTTTTATGTTTCTTGAAATGTTTATGGATTATTTTTATATACTACCGATGGACTAAGTCGTAAGAAAATTCATTGGAAAATCATTAATTTTTTTTTTTTTTTTATCTATATTTACCAATGGATTATCAACAGAATTTTACTGACGAAATAATTTTGTCGCTAAATTCGTTGGTCATTTAATGCCAATGTGTAAAATATAACTAATGTTGGTATTAGCAGGCAGTAATTAAACAATTCCGTCAGTATATTGTCACTATTATCGATGGAAACTAGCAGTCAGTAAATTTTTGTCACTGATAGCGCATATTGCAGTACTTTAAATTTATGTACTAATTAAAAATAATATATTTTAATCACATCACAAATTGTATTTCACTATACTCAACATATGAAGTATATAATTTGTAATATTTTACATAATCATAAAAACTTAGATTAATAACTCAAATTAAAGACACGAATAAACGATAAAATCGAATTATAATTTTACAAAATGTTACTCTAAATGCATTTGTTTAATCTCATTCCTAACTTCTCAATTTATCCTTCGATGTGATGTGTTTTTGACGTATGAATAATTGGATTAGACCAAACAAAAATCGTTCAATTTTTTGCCAAATAAACCATTTTTTTTTTCAAATTTTAGAAGATAAAAGAACTTACATTATTTTGTATAATATAGAAATTTATTGTTAACAGTAAAATTTACAATAGCCAGGACATCGTACGTGTTTCCACAATTTACATAACATTTTTGCTATTTTCCTATTTTCCATGCTTCACAATCTTTGTTGTCATGGAAATGGTTTTTATGTTTTCTGAAATGTTTATAAATTATTTTTTACATTTTACCGATGGACTAAGCCATAGAAAAATTATTATTTATTATTATTTACATTTACCAACGAATTACCTATAGAATTTTACCGACAGAATCATTTCATCGCTAAATTCGTAGTTAATTTAATGCCATTGTTTAAAAGTAAATAAATAATGTTGGTATTTATTAGCAGACAGTAATTTAATAATTCCGTTAGTAAACCATCGATAAATTTCTGTTATTGATAGTATAAATTTATGGACCGATTGCGAATAATATATTTTTTGTTCACGTCACAAATTGTGTGTCACCATACTTGACAAATCAAATATACAATTTGTAACATTTCGCATAATCATGAAAACTTATATTAATAACTCAAGTTAAATACTCGAATAAACGATAAAATCAAATTATAATTTATAAAGTCATTTACAAAATGCTACTCTAAAGGCATTAAACTAACCTTTTATAACATCAAATTAGCTCCAATGAAGCCTTAAAAAGAAAGTTACAAAAAAATAAATAAATAGATAAGACCTAACACTCATATCTACATATTGATTTTATAGTATATATCAGATGTGAATGTGTAAAATGAGAGAATTAAGGTGTTGCTGATTTTTGAAGACGAATGTAGTACTTCTGGGCATGACTTGCAACTTGTGTTGGGCTCTTCGTTAACACACAATTTCTTGAAATGCACTTCCAATTTCCCTTCCCATACTTTTCTAGTCCAGCAAGAAATTTCCTGAATCAATAGAAAACAATACCAAATCAAACACAAATGCCACCATATGTAGTTCAAATTAATTATCATTGAAAAATAGAAGAAAATAGTGCAAGATTAAACAAATATTTATGCATATACTCATGTTCTTCCTTGGTCCAACGAATGGACCTAGTCTTCTGTTTTTGTGTAGATTTTCCCCCTCTCCTCCAAGCTGATTTAGGCTTGCTATTATCAATGTCTATATAGTTAGGTAATGGAACATGACCCGATTTGATCATGTCAACGTCTTCTACCAATGCTTTGTAATGTTCTTTAATTTGTTCAATGGTTTTTCCAGGGATGAATGAAGCAATCTTGTTAAATATATATGGGAATTCAATATTATAAGCTCCAATAGCATTCTCAAATAGATTGTTCTCCTCAATTGTCCAATCTTCATTTTTTGGCTGGATTTTTGAGCTGATAAAAGATATTTCATTTTCATTAAAACTTTTACATGATACAAATGAAAAATCCATTGGTTACCAGAAAAAAGGCTGTCTCCAAACATATATTGTTGGTGTAACAATTATATTGTTGTGTGTATGTTTGTCATGGGTAATCTTTACAAGGAATTCTGATAAATGGCGCTTCGTCATAAGATTTTTACAATTTATACTGGGTAAAATATTTGAAAGCATTAAATATAAGGGAAGGCGGCACTGAGTTGCATCTTTAATAACTTGAGATTTAGGGTAGCATCAATGAGGCATATTATTATTCTAACCATAAATAAGCTTATTTAAGAATACAGTTAAGATATTAATTTGTTTCACGTAACCGCAAAAAGAAAAATAAATAAATAAATAAATTCCTGCTTTATTCCAGTTTCAAAAATTTCAATGGGGAGGAAAAAAATCCTGGAAGACAAAATTATGATAAAATTCAAAATAATTGAGATACAATTACCTAATAAAGGCTCAAGACAGAATATGTGTTCAAAATACATTTGAGTGAAATAGGACAATGTTGAGAGTTTCGTTGTGCTCCTAACCTTTTAGTCTTAGGGGAATATAAAAGATGTGGCTTGCCTTAATTATTAGGCGTCATAGATATCTTAAACATTATTGGCAGAGGTGGTTCTGAGATTGCTCATTTGTGCGATTGCATAAGGCCTCAGATTGTAGGGCACCAAATTTTATTTTTTTTCATTATATAATTATATATAATAATTTTAAAATTTAAAATTTTTATTATTATGTTACTTAATGGGCATAATATTTATGAAAAAAAGAGGTAGGAGTAGAAAAATAATGACTCTTATTTAACATTATTGTTCTAACTGTGTATCATACCAAGACATTTTATGAGAGTAATGGAAATATTCACATTGTTTAGGCTCTTTCGTGTTAATTTCAATATGTTGTGCTTAACTATTTTTCTTTATGAATGATTTCTGCATTAATTGTAGGTATTTGACTTGGTATGATATGCAATTGTCTTACTACTATTCTCATGAATTATGCTAATTTGAAAGTATGTTGTAATCATCTTGACATTGTTCTAAGACATCATTTTTTGTTATCTTGATGGTGAAAATTTGTTTCAAGAGTTAAAAATTTTGCAAAATCTTTTACCAAAAAAAAAAATAGCTTTCGATATTTGACTTATTTTAAAAGATTGGATTGCTTTCCGAATACATTTATTGCTTATAGAATACTATTGAAAATTCATATTACTTTTGTATATGTCAAAAGAAGTTTTTCAAAAATTGAAGTTATTAAAATCTTATTTGCAATCGACCATCTTATAAAAACGATTGAATTGACTAACTTTCATATCTATTGAGCAAGATTTGTTAGAACATATTGATTATGAAAGTTTAATTAGTGAGTTTGCATCTGAAAAATGCAAGAAGAAATATTTTTACATTTTGTTGCATTTCAAAATTTTCACGTGGTATTTTATGTATTTGATTTCAAAGTTTGTTCATATGAAATTTCATGATGAGTTTAGTGGCTTGGATGATTTTTTATTGAAATAATATTATTGGGAATTTTTTTTTTTGTTAATATATGTTTTTAATTACATGAAAGGGGCCCATTTTAAATTGTCAATACAGAGTACTCAAAATCTCAGGGTTATGAGACAATATGTTTTAGTTTAGTTCATATTGAGTTCGACTTCTACAATTAAGTATTCCCTCCGTCCCAAAAATATATACTTGCTTTTATTTTTATACATATTATGAAAATGTAATTAATCTAGTTGGCAAAATAAAGTTTAATTATATTTTTCTTAAGATACCCGTACATTGAATAATTGTTTAAATAGGAGTTGTTGGAAAATTATTAATTTTCCATGTGGGCTGACGATGTAATTAATTTTATATAAAGGCTATTAAAGTTAAGCTCAAAATTAAAGTGATCTAATAAATAATTAAGTAATTAGGCTTATGGCATATAAATAAAGTGAGGCCAGATTATATGCATAAAGATCATATTCTTTTATAATTATATTTCATGATAGGTGAAATACATATGATGAAAACTATATAGGAATATGGTCCCTAGTTCATATGCAATTTCTCATTATTTTCGTCATCCCATCAACACAAAATTATAGAGAAAGCAAAACCAATTAAATGATGTGCCATGTCACTAGTGTTTAGAAAATCATTTTCGTGTGTGTGTGTGTGTGATAAGTTAAAGATTCAATAATTAAAATTCAAATTATGGTATTAAAGTTTCTTTTAGGATAACTAATTTTCCAAATTAAATTAATTGAAGCAACGTATTACCAAACTAACCTCTCTTGTCTAGATTAATTTATTTGGAATATTGGAAATGTTGTATGTTTTATAATTCATGCGGATATTCACCGGCCCAAAGAAAGATAAATGTTTCGCCGAATTACATACACACCTATGACAATAAATATTTGACAATTTTAAAGTTTCTTTTATGTGAACAATAAATCGGTCCAAAGATAGATTTATTGTTTGACATAGTTTATTATCAATATTTGATTACTACGTCAAGAGTATCACTTACAAGTTGATATTTCTATCCAAAGACTAAATATCAATGTTGTACTTAGTATCTTGTGATGAGATTTACCATTATTTGAATTTATTAATTGATTAATATGGATTCTAATGTGAACATGTTGCTTTGATTTTGTTCTCCATTCAATTAACTCTTCCGTTTGTACAATATGTACAAACATCGATTCTATTCCCATGCTAAATGAAACTAATTTTAAGGTCTGGAAAGAGAACTTTCAAATCATTCTTGGCTGCATGGATTTAAACTTTGCATTAAGTACTAAATGACCTATTGTACTTATGAATAAAAATTTCGCTAATGAAATGAGACTTTGATAAATGGGATTGTTCAAATCGCATGAGTCTTATGATCATAAAGCGTGATATTCTAGAATCATTCAGAGGCACTGTGTTCGATGAGGTAACTATTACCAAGGAATTTCTTGATGAATTGAAAATGGAGGAAATCCCCTCAATAGTCACCGAACTTTGCAGAAAATCCCCTAGGAGGTCACCGGACTTCAATACGTACCTGAATGGTCACTGAACTTTTTCGAAGTTTTCCAAGAGGTCACCGAACTTCAAAACGTCCCTGAATGGTCACTGAATTTTTTAAAAAGTCCCTCAGAGGTCACTAAACTAGTTATGTATGGAGTCCTAATTTGCAACGTTGAGTGACCTCTCTAGGGAACTTAGGCAAAGTTCAGTGACCATTCAGAGACGTTTTGAAGTTCGGTGACCTTTTGCTAGACTTCGACAAAGTTCAGTGACTATTTAGGGACGTATTGAAATTCGGTGACCTCCTAGGGGATTTTCTACAAAGTTCAGTGACCATTGGGGGGATTTTCTCATTGAAAATGCTATGCAAAAAGCGATAAGGTCGAAACTAGTACGCTTCTAGCGAACTTAGTTTCACTAAAGTATAAAGGTAAAGGAAATATTCAAGAGTACATCATGGAGAAGTCTCATGTTGCTTCAAATCTAAAGGCACTAAAGCTTGAATTTTCTTATGATTTGTTCATGCATTTGGTTTTGATTTCTCTTCCTACACAATACAATCAATTCAAGGTCAGTTACAACTGTCAAAAGGAGAAGTGGACTCTAAATGAGCTCATTTCATACTGTGTGCAAGAAGAAGAAAAGCTAGAGCAAGATAGAATAGAAAGTGCTCACTTGACTAATACCTCTAAGGACAAGTCTAAGAAAAGAAAGAATAAGAAATTTGCACACAGTTCAGCTCAAAAGAAAGAGTTAAAGCCTGAAAATGATGAATCACCTAGCTGTTACTTTTTTGTGGAATCTCGAGACACTTGAAAATGGATTATTCTAAATATCATGCTTGGCGTATAAAGAAAGGTAGATTTCTCATTGGTTTGTTCTGAAATCAATTTAGCTTCAGTTCCTAGATATACTTGGTGGATTGATTCATGTAACACTACTTATGTAAATGTGTTTATACATGGTTGTCTGAACCGTCAAAAGTCAAATGATGCTAAAAGATTCATCTATGTGGGTGACGACAAATCAATTGAAATTGAGGCTATAAGGACTTTTAGATTATTATTATTAGTATTATTATTATTATTATTATTATTATTATTATTATTATTATTATTATTATTATTATTATTATTAAAGACTAGTTTTTATTTGGATTTGAAAGAGACTTTTGTGGTACCATAATTTAGACGGGATTTGATTTTTATTTCAATATTGGACAAATTTAGTTATTTTTGTTCATTTGGAAATAATAAATTTAGTCTTTTCTTGATTCAAATCTTGTGGGTATCTGTTCTCTATCTAGATATGATAATATGTACTTATTCACATAGTATTAAACATAAATTTACCAATGATAATTCTGCTTCATTATGGCACAAACGTTTAGATCACATTTCTCGAAAGAGGATTGAAAAGCTTTTATCAGAAAGAATTTTTTAGCCCTTTGATTTTTCAGACTTTAGTGCTTATTTAATTGTATCAACGGGAAACAAACAAACATAAATAGATTAGGTGTCAATAGAACTTCGAACGTCTTACAACTAATTCATACGGATATCTATCGGCTATTCCCTTCGACTTCCTGGAATGGTCAAAAGTCACTTATTACATTCATAGACAATTATTCTCGCTATTGCTATCTATATATTATTCATGAGAAATCCAATCATTGAATATGTTTAAGGCTTATAAGACTGAAGTTGAAAACTAAATCGACAAAAGAATGAAACACGTTAGATCTAACAATGGTGTAAATACTATGGCAGATATGACGAATCAAGATGACAACGTCCATTGCCTTTTGCTAAATTCCTAAAGGAATGTGGAATCATCCAACAAAAATTTTTCCAGGTTCTGCTATCATGAATGTTGTTGCTGAAAGATAAAACAAAATACTTAAGAACATGGTAAAAAGTATGATTAGTCATTCCACCTTACCAGAATTTCTCTAAGGAGAAGCATTAAAAATGCAGTTTATATTCTCTATCCAGC